ACCGCAAGGCACTACAGAGGCTAGTGCGTACGGCTCAGTACATCACTGGGGCCAAGCTTCCTGACATTAAGGACCTCTATAACAGGCGGTGTCAGAGGAAGACCCTATAAATTGACTCCAGCCACCATAGTCATAGACTGTTCTCTCTGCTACCGCACGGCAAGCGGTACCGGAGCACCAAGTCTAGGTCCAAAAGGCTTCTTAACAGCTTCTACCCCAAGCCATAAGACTCCTGAACAGCTAATCATGGCTAGCCGTACTATTTGCATTGCCCCCACCCCCTCTTTTACGCTGCTGCTACTCTGTTTATTATCTATGCATAGTCACTTTAACTCTACCCACATATACATATTACCTCAATCACCTCGACTAACCGGTGCCCCCGCACATTGACTCTGTACCGGTACCCCCTGTATATAGCCTCCCTACAGTTATTTTATTTTACTGCTGCTCTTTAATTATTTCCTATTTTTAGTTTATACTTATCTATTTTTTACCTAACGTTTTTTTTTCTTTTAAAACTGCATTGTTGGTTAAGGGCTTGTAAGTATTCGGCGCATTGCATTGTATTGGCTGAATGATTTGATTTTGACAAGTTGCCTGATTTGCGTAATGTATGCAAAGTTTGAAGCTATACAGATGGTGGAACAAAAAGCTTCACTTGAGGTGAAGTATTTAATATATATATATATTATATATATATATATAATATGTTTATATCCATGGGAAAAAAAGTTAGAGCCAGCCAATTGTGCAGTTTCATCTTGAAGACACTAAAGCCTGTAATATTTATATTCATAGGTACAAACGTCACCCTACAGGACAAATTAGGGAAACACTCAGAAATTACACATTGTAAGATTTTATATGAATTTATTTGCAAATTATGGTGGAAAATAAGTATTTGGTCAATAACAAAAGTTTCTCAATACTTTGTTATATACCCTTTGTTGGCAATGACACAGGTCAAACGTTTTCTGTAAGTCTTCACAAGGTTTTCACACACTGTTGCTGGTATTTTGGCCCATTCCTCCATGCAGATCTCCTCTAGAGCAGTGATGTTTTGGGGCTGTCGCTGGGCAACACGGACTTTCAACTCCCTCCAAAGATTTTCTATGGGGTTGAGATCTGGAGACTGGCTAGGCCACTCCAGGACCTTGAAATGCTTCTTACGAAGCCACTCCTTCGTTGCTCGGGCGGTGTGTTTGGGATCATTGTCATGCTGAAAGACCCAGCAACGTTTCATCTTCAATGCCCTTGCTGATGGAAGGAGGTTTTCACTCAAAATCACATGATACAAGGCCCCATTCATTCTTTCCTTTACACGGATCAGTCGTCCTGGTCACTTTGCAGAAAAACCGCCCCAAAGCATGATGTTTCCACCCCCATGCTTCACAGTAGGTATGGTGTTCTTTGGATGCAACTCAGCATTCTTTGTCCTCCAAACACGACGAGTTGAGTTTTTACCAAAAAGTTATATTTTGGTTTCATCTGACCATATGACATTCTCCCAATCCTCTTCTGGATCATCCAAATGCACTCTAGCAAACTTCAGACGGGCCTGGACATGTACTGGCTTAAGCAGGGGGAAATGTCTGGCACTGCAGGATTTGAGTCCCTGGCGGCGTAGTGTGTTACTGATGGTAGGCTTTGTTACTTTGGTCCCAGCTCTCTGCAGGTCATTCACTAGGTCCCCCCGTGTGGTTCTGGGATTTTTGCTCACCGTTCTTGTGATCATTTTGACCCCACGGGGTGAGATCTTGCGTGGAGCCCCAGATCGAGGGAGATTATCAGTGGTCTTGTATGTCTTCCATTTCCTAATAATTGCTCCCACAGTTGATTTCTTCAAACCAAGCTGCTTACCTATTGCAGATTCAGTCTTCCCAGCCTGGTGCAGGTCTACAATTTTGTTTCTGGTGTCCTTTGACAGCTCTTTGGTCTTGGCCATAGTGGAGTTTGGAGTGTGACTGTTTGAGGTTGTGGACAGGTGTCTTTTATACTGATAACAAGTTCAAAACAGGTGCCATTAATACAGGTAACGAGTGGAGGACAGAGGAGCCTCTTAAAGAAGAAGTTACAGGTCTGTGAGAGCCAGAAATCTTGCTTGTTTGTAGGTGACCAAATACTTATTTTCCACCATAATTTGCAAATAAATTCATTAAAAATCCTACAATGTGATTTTCTGGATTTTTTCTCCTCAATTTGTCTGTCATAGTTGACGTGTACCTATGATGAAAATTACAGGCCTATCTCATCTTTTTAAGTGGGAGAACTTGCACAATTGGTGGCTGACTAAATACTTTTTTCCCCCACTGTATATATATATGTTTTTCTTTCTTCCATGACAGTTAAAAAATATGAACCAGTGCAAATGGCCATTTATCTTTTGATTGACACTCAAAGCTACATTTATTTATTTATTTATATATATATACAGTATCTCACAAAAGTGAGTACACCCCTCACGGTTTTTGGAATATTTGAGTATATCTTTTCATGTGACAACACTGAAGGAAATTACACTTTGCTACAAGGTAAAGTAGGAGTGCACAGCTTTTATAACAGTGTAAATTTGCTGTCCCTCAAAAAACTCAACAAACAGCCATTAATCTCTAAACCCCTGGCAACAAAAGTGAGTACACCCCTAAGTGAAAATGTCCAAATTTGGGGCCCCAAAATGTCAATATTTTGGGGTGGCCACCATCATTTACCAGCAACTGCCTTAACCCTCTTGGGCATGGAGTTCACCAGAGCTTCACAGGTTGCCACTGGAGTCCTCTTCCACTCCTCCATGAGACATAAAGGAGCTGGTGGTGTTAGAGACCTTGCACTCCCCCCCCTTCCGTTTGAGGATGCCCTTAGATGCTCAATAGGGTTTAGGTCTGGAGACATGCTTGGCCAGTCCATCACCTTTACCCTCAGCTTCTTTAGCAAGGCAGTGGTCGTCTTGGAGGTGTGTTTGGGGTCGTTATCATGTTGGAATACTGCCCTGCGGCCCAGTCTCCGAAGGGAGGGGATCATGCTCTGCTTCAGTATGTCACAGTAAATGTTGGCATTCATGGTTCCCTCAATGAACTGTAGCTCCCCAGTGCCGGCAGCACTCATGCAGCCCCAGACCATGACACTCCCACCACCATGCTTGACTGTAGGCAAGACACACTTGTCTTTGTACTCCTCACCTGGTTGCCGCCACACACGCTTGACACCATCTGAACCAAATAAGTTTATCTTGGTCTCATCAGACAACAGGACATGGTTCCAGTAATCCATGTCCTTAGTCTGCTTTTCTTCAGCAAACTGCTTGAGGGCTTTCTTGTGCATCAACTTTAGAAGAGGCTTCCTTCTGGGACGACTGCCATGCAGACCAATTTGATGCAGTGTGCTGCGTATGGTCTGAGCACTGACAGGCTGACCCCCCACCCCTTCAACCTCTGCAGCAATGCTGGCAGCACTCATACGTCTATTTCCCAAAGACAACCTCTGGATATGACGCTGAGCACGTGCACTCAACATCTTTGGTCGACCATGGCGAGTTCTGAGTGGAACCTGTCCTGTTAAACCGCTGTATGGTCTTGGCCATCGTGCCGCAGCGCAGTTTCAGGATCTTGGCAATCTTCTTATAGCCCAGGCCATCTTCATGTAGAGCAACAATTCTTTTTTTCAGATCCTCAGAGAGTTCTTTGCCATGAGGTGCCATGTTGAACTTCCAGTGACCAATGAGGGAGTGTGAGAGCGATAACACCAAATTTAACACACCTGCTCCCCATTCACACCTGAGACCTTGTAACACTAATGAGTCACATGACACCGGGGAGGGAAAATGGCTAATTGGGCCCAATTTGGACATTTTCACTTAGGGGTGTACTCACTTTTGTTGCCAGCGGTTTAGACATTAATCGCTGTGTGTTGAGTTATTTTGAGGGGACAGCAAATTTACATTTTTACATTTTACATTTTAGTCATTTAGCAGACGCTCTTATCCAGAGCGACTCACAGTTAGTGAGTGCATACATTTTTCATACTGTTTTACACTGTTATACAAGCTGTACACTCACTACTTTACATTGTATCAAAGTGTCATTTCTTCAGTGTTGTCACATGAAAAGATATACTCAAATATTTACAAAAATGTGAGGGGTGTACTCACTTTTGTGAGATAATGTATAATGATATTTTATTTATACAGTAAAAAAAAAAAAACACTTCTCACACCAGATAGGTGTGGCGAAATAGGATGTGTTACAGGGTCAGCCATAGTAGTATGGCGCCCCTGGAACAAATTAGGTTTAAGTGCCTTGCTCAAGAGCACATCGGCCGATTTTGCACCTTGTCGGCTCAGGTAATCAGGTTATTGGCCCAACGATCTAACCGCTAGGCTACCTGCCGCCCTCAGACAGTACAGACAAAATAAGAGGTGAGAGTCCATGATGACTGTTGAAAGTGCCTTTTCACATAACAACCAAGCACTTAGCAAAGTATTGGGCTTTTCTGTGTCCCAGTAGGCTACTCCTAACTGCCTTCCTCTCCTCATCTCTTTTCCTCCATTGCCACTCATCCACTGATGTTTAATTTCAGACTTTCCCTTAGATTCTACTTTCAAACTAGTCTGGCTGATACCAAACTCGAAGGGGGCTGTGCTTTTACTGGTTGGTTCTCCTCCGTGTCTTTCTCACTCAAACACCCACAGCCCACGAATGCCACCCCCTTCCATTACCACTGTTGGATTTTCAAATCCAAACAACGAGAGGTCTCAACCCCCCTGGGAGGGGGGGGGGGGTGACATTTGATAAAACGAATCGATGAGTCCGCTCAAATTCTGAGCGACTATTGCATTAACTGCCTCCTTTCCAGACCAGTGAGTCACAACTTTTCCTCGCTGTGTGGTCACGTGAGTCGCATCAGCCAGGCTACATTCAAACCTGATCATAAACCAAAAGACAGCTTTTGCAGGGACATTTAAATAGTTACATTGTTTACGTTTGCGACCTCCAAGAAACCAATCAGAACAGTGCTAATGCCTGAAAGGAGAATATGTCATTTGAAAGCATTGGGATGCAGCCCCTTCCAGGCACCATCTGAAACACCCTTATACTCGTTCCCAGTTCCTCTATTTCAGAGTGGTTTTTAAAAGCTTTTCCAAGAAGTGTCCCAGTCACAGAGTTCCGCTTCACATCATACTCTCCATTGTCCTTTTTGCTCCTCCATGTGTGCTAGAGATCCCTTATCACCACTAATAAAGAGACAAAGAGGAAAGGACAGAGAAAGGGAGGGGATAATAGCAGGTTAGCGTCATAAAATAAGAATTGTTTATTGTCCATTATCTTTTTGATATCACTGAAATTAAGGATTTTATTTTTATTTTCATCCAACCCCTTGAAAAACACACACACACACACACACACACACAGATTTGAAGCCAGGGTAAGCCACGGCGCAGCACCTTTGAAGTTGTTTGAGGGGTTAAGTGCCTTGCTCAAGGGCAAAACGACAGGAGATGGAATGAAATGAGACAGGAGTGTGCAAACCTGTCTTTCTACCGGGGTCCCTGCAGTCCAATGGCTCCTGTTCTTGGGGCTCGCCTCCACTGCTGGGGGTCCATGTCTGGGTGGGGCAGCTGCTGGGGTGGTGGGCTGCAGGGGGCTCACCTCTGGACAGTGGCCCCCTGAGGTGGCTTGTTGGGGCAGCTGAGGGCTGTGCATGATGTGGGCGTCCAGCATCTCCAGGAGCAGGTCGTACAGGGGCACAATGTTCTTCATCTTCATGCAGTGCAGGTGGTCCATGCCCTTGTTACTGCACAATGAGCAAACACAGAGGTCATGTATGCTCACTGCTTTTCGTGATACAGAAGAAAATAAAATACACAGAAATGGGCCTAGAAAGCATTAACCGGCGATAGCCGACACCTGCATGCTAATGTTTTAGTGGTGTCTTGGTGGAACTGCGTTAGAGCTGTCAAATCGGTGAGCAGCTGCTCTTGTTGATCATTGTCACCAAGCCACACCCGTCCCACTCGCGTTAGAAGTTCAGAACGAGAATGTGTAGCCTACAGTGCCTTCAGGAATTATTCATACTCCTTGACTTATTCCACATTTTGTTGTGTTACAGCCAGAATTCTCTCACCCATCTACACACAATACCCCATAATGACGAAGACAAAACGTTAGACATTTTAGCAAATTTGTTGAAAATGAAATCTAATTTACATAAGTATTCATACCCCTGAGTCAATACATGTTAGAATCACAGCTGTGAGTCTTTCTGGGTAAGTCTCTAAGAGCATTGCACACCTGGATTGTATAATATTTGCACATTATTATTTAAAAAATTCAAGTTGGTTGTTGATTATTGCTAGACAGCCATTTTCAAGTTTTGCCATAGACTGTCGAACCAATTTAAGTCAAAACTGTAACTAGGCCACTCAGAAACATTCAATGTAATCTTTGTAAGCAACTCCAGTGCATATTTGGCCTTATTTTCTAGGTTTTTGTCCTGCTGAAAGGTGAATTTGTCTCCCAGTGTTTGTTGGAAAGTAGACAAAAAAGTTTTCCTCTAGGATTTTGCCTGTACTTAACTCTATTCTGTTTCTTTTTATCCTAAAATACTCCCTAGCCCTTGCCGATTACAAGTGTACCCATAACATCTGCCACGCTGATCCTCAATACGGGGGCCCCTCAGGGGTGCGTGCTAAGTCCCCTCCTGTACTCCCGGTTCACCCATGACTGCATGGCCAGGCACGACTCCAACACCATCATTAAGTTTGCCGACGACACAACAGTGGTAGGCCTGATCACTGACAAGACAGCCTATAGGGAGGAGGTCAGAGACCTGGCCGTGTGGTGCCAGAATAACAACTTCTCCCTCAACGTGCTCAAGACAAAGGAGATGATTTTGGACTACAGGAAAAGAAGGACAGAGCACGTCCCTATTCTGTAGTGGAGCAGGTTGAGAGCTTCAAGTTCCTTGGTGTCCACATCACCAACAAACTATCATGGTCCAAACACACCAAGACAGTCATGAAGAGGGCATGACAAAGCCTATTCCCCCTCAGGAGACTGAAAAGATTTGGCATGGGTCCCCAGATCCTCAAAAAGTTATACAGCTGCACCATCGAGAGCATCCTGACTGGTTGTATCACTACCTGGTATGGCAACTGCTCGGCCTCCGACCACAAGGCACTACAGAGAGTAGTGCGTACGGCCCAGTACATCACTGAGGCCAAGCTTCCTGCCATCCAGGACCTCTACACCAGGCGGTGTCAGAGGAAGGCTCTAAAAATTGTCAAAGACTCCAGCCACCCTAGTCCACCATAGACTGTTCTCTCTGCTACCGCACGGCAAGCAGTACCGAAGCGCCAAGTCTAGGTCCAAAAGGCTTCTTAACAGCTTCTACCTCCAAAGATTTTCTATAGGGTTGAGATCTGGAGACTGGCTAGGCCACTCCAGGACCTTGAAATGCTTCTTACGAAGCCACTCCTTCGTTGCCCGGGCAGTGTGTTTGGGATCATTGTCATGCTGAAAGACCCAGCCATGTTTCATCTTCAATGCCCTTGCTGATGGAAGGAGGTTTTCACTCAAAATCTCACGATACATGGCCCCATTCATTCTTTCCTTTACACGGATCAGTCGTCCTGGTCGCTTTGCAGAAAAACAGCCCCAAAGCATGATGTTTCCACCCCCATGCTTCACAGTAGGTATGGTGTTCTTTGGATGCAACTCAGCATTCTTTGTCCTCCAAACACGACGAGTTGAGTTTTTACCAAAAAGTTATATTTTGGTTTCATCTGACCATATGACATTCTCCCAATCCTCTTCTGGATCATCCAAATGCACTCTAGCAAACTTCAGACGGGCCTGGACATGTACTGGCTTAAGCAGGGGGACACGTCTGGCACTGCAGGATTTGAGTCCCTGGCGGCGTAGTGTGTTACTGATGGTAGGCTTTGTTACTTTGGTCACAGCTCTCTGCAGGTCATTCACTAGGTCCCCCCGTGTGGTTCTGGGATTTTTGCTCACCGTTCTTGTGATCATTTTGACCCCACGGGGTGAGATCTTGCGTGGAGCCCCAGATCGAGGGAGATTATCAGTGGTCTTGTATGTCTTCCATTTCCTAATAATTGCTCCCACAGTTGATTTCTTCAAACCAAGCTGCTTACCTATTGCAGATTCAGTCTTCCCAGCCTGGTGCAGGTCTACAATTTTGTTTCTGGTGTCCTTTGACAGCTCTTTGGTCTTGGCCATAGTGGAGTTTGGAGTGTGACTGTTTGAGGTTGTGGACAGGTGTCTTTTATACTGATAACAAGTTCAAACAGGTGCCATTAATACAGGTAACGAGTGGAGGACAGAGGAGCCTCTTAAAGAAGAAGTTACAGGTCTGTGAGAGCCAGAAATCTTGCTTGTTTGTAGGTGACCAAATACTTATTTTCCACCATAATTTGCAAATAAATTCATTAAAAATCCTACAATGTGATTTTCTGGATTTTTTTTCCTCAATTCGTCTGTCATAGTTGACGTGTACCTATGATGAAAATTACAGGCCTCTCTCATCTTTTTAAGTGGGAGAACTTGCACAATTGGTGGCTGACTAAATACTTTTTTTCCCCCACTGTACTATTATTGAGTCCATGTAATTTGTGACTTGTTAAGCACATTTTTACTCCTGAACTTAATTAGGCTTGCTATAACAAAGGGGTTGAATAGTTTACTCAAGACATTTCAGCTTTTCATTTTTAATGAATTTGTAAACATTTCTAAAAACATAATTCCATTTCGACAATATGGGGTATTGTGTGTATGCCTGTGTCACATATTCTCAATTTAATGAATTTTAAATTCAGGCAGTAACACAACAATATGTGTCACGATCGTCGGGAACAGAGGACCAATGCGCAGCGTTGAATGCAAACATATTTATTAACACTGAAGGATAACACGAACAAAAACGATAACGTGACAGTCAACGGTCTAACACAAACCAACTAGAACAAGAACCCACAAACACAACGGGAAAAACAGACAGTTTAAATATGGCTCCCAATCAGAGACAACCAGCCACAGCTGACACTCGTTGCCTCTGATTGGGAGTCACTCAGGCCAACATAGAAATAAACAAACTAGAACTCCCAACATAGAAATAGAATACATAGATCTACACACCCTGGCTCAACATAACAGTGTCCCCAGAGCCAGGGCGTGACAGTACCCCCCCCCTAAAGGCGCGGACTCCGACCGCGCCAACTAAATACCACAGGGGAGGGACCGGGTGGGCACTCCGCCTTGGCGGCGGATCCGGCTCCGGGCCTGATCCCCACTCCCTCTCCAACCCCCCAAAGTACCCCTGGTCCGGTCTGGCCCCGCTGGCCGGAGCTGGACTGCACACTGATGGAGCGGATTGCTCTAGCTCCGGCGTAACGCATCTGACCGGTGCCGGACCAGGCACCAGTGGAACAGGCACGGGCCGTGCCGGACTGACGACGCCCACCACTGGCTTGGTGTGGAGAACAGGCACGGGCCGTGCTGGACTGACGACGCACACCACTGGCTTGGTGTGAGGAGCAGGAGCGGGCCGAACCGGGCTGGCGACGCGCACCATTGGCTTGGTGCGGGAAGCAGGAGCGGACCGGACCGGGCTGACGATGCGCACCCCTGGCTTGGTGAGTGGAGCAGCAACGGGCCGGACCGGGCTGACAATACGCACCCCTGGCTTGGTGCGTGGAGCAGGAACGGGCTGGACCGGGCTGACGACTCGCACCCCTGGCTTGGTGCGAGTGGCAGGAACAGGCCGGACCGGGCTGGCGACGCGCACCATAGGCTTGGTGCGGGGAGCAGGAACAGGCCGGGCCGGGCTGGCGAATCGCACCATAGGCTTGGTGCGAGGAGCAGGAACAGGCCGGGCCGAGCTGGCGACGCGCACCGTAGGCTTGGTGCGAGGGGCAGGAGCAGGCCGGGCCGGGCTGGCGACGCGCACCGTAGGCTTGGTGCGAGGAGCAGGAACAGGCCGGGCCGAGCTGGCGACGCGTACCGTAGGCTTGGTGCGAGGGGCAGGAGCAGGCCGGGCCGGGCTGGCGACGCGCACCGTAGGCTTGGTGCGAGGGGCAGGAGCAGGCCGGGCCGGGCTGGCGACGCACACCGTAGGCTTGGTGCGAGGGGCAGGAACAGGCCGGGCTGGGCTGGCGACGCGCACCGTACACTTGGTGCGGGGAGCAGGAACAGACCGGACCGTACTGGGGACACACACCACTGGCCCTACACCGGGATCTGGAACGGGCCGGACCGGACTGGTAACACACCCCAGTACCTCTCGCCGTGCCTCTACACCTTCCATCCCCTCTTCAACCAGTGGCCCCCGTAACCTGGCGGCCTCCTCTGCCAACCCGCTGGACCGCTCTATCGCGGCCTCCTGCTGCCCCGACGTCGTGAGCCCCCCCCTAAAAATGTTCTGGGGTTCTCTCTTCCCCGTGGGCCAGGCCTCTATAATTCTCGCCCAACTCTCGCTCTTCTGCTTCCAACTCCCGCCATTCAGCTCCTCATTGGGCTTGACCCAGTCGAAGCTCTTCCTCCACTGTTCCCAAGTCCACCCTCTCTGCTCCTCACTAGGCTTGACCCAGTCGAGGTTGCCACGGAGATCTGCTAGCGATTCCCCTGGCGATGGCTCCTGGACACGCTGCTTGGTCCAGTTTTGGTGGGTTCTTCTGTCACGATCGTCGGGAACAGAGGACCAATGCGCAGCGTTGAATGCAAACATATTTATTAACACTGAAGGATAACACGAACAAAAACGATAACGTGACAGTCAACGGTCTAACACAAACCAACTAGAACAAGAACCCACAAACACAACGGGAAAAACAGACAGTTTAAATATGGCTCCCAATCAGAGACAACCAGCCACAGCTGACACTCGTTGCCTCTGATTGGGAGTCACTCAGGCCAACATAGAAATAAACAAACTAGAACTCCCAACATAGAAATAGAATACATAGATCTACACACCCTGGCTCAACATAACAGTGTCCCCAGAGCCAGGGCGTGACAATATGTGGAAAAAGTCAAGGGGTGTGAATACTTTCTGAAGGCAATGATAGAAATAATGACGCTCAAATGTAACATTTCAATCAGCCTAATCGAGGTGTAGATTACATCTCACATTCCAGTGTTCAAACTTGTAAACAAGGCTTCATGGGATTTCTCTTAACGCGACTCCGTGCAGCCAATGGCAATATCCGCTTTTGGTATAGCCAGGAGCCGCTTGTGCATTTGACAGCTCTAACGCAGTTGTAATAGAAAAATAGAGAGAGTGAACAAATGTGAATGATGATGAAGGCCAGTGATGAAGATGCATCTAGCGACTTGCTGGGGCCGAGGCCCAGCGTGATGACTCAATCACCATTTTTGACATTGTTTGGATGGCTGAATTGACTAAATGAATGTTACTGTTTTAATTAAATTGTCATGTTTGGATTGTTTCCAGAGTTCATAAAGAGCTATGAATTTTTATATGTTTTATTGTAACTGTTATTCTGTTCGTCGGAAGGCGGATAGTTCAAAGAGGAGCGACACAGGGGGGACGCTCTTATCATACAGTTTTGAAGTGTGGTGATTAGATTAGAGAATGCCTGTGAAGTTTTATGCATTTTGTTTTAATGTTTTGGGCCGTGCAAAGTGGTGCTCTTGGAAGAATAAAAGCTAGGTTTAAACTTTGATCATGAAGTCATTAGTAAACCGATCTCCATATGTACGTTTGAATGTCATAGTGGTGAATTTTCTATGATGTGAAGACTTATATCGTGAAGATTTCTGATTTGTACCATTTGATAATTGTATTCTTATTGCATTACTGTAATACATCTGATTAGTTTTAATTGATAAGAACTGTAGTCCTCACATTCCTGAGTAATATTCGTTGAATTATTATTTGGTGAATTGTCTAATGGTAAATGTTATTTACAATACACATAGCATATATGCTTGGCCTCTAACTGTGCAGCTCTGAGCAAAGGTTAACTCAATCATTTAATGCTACGCCATTGATATTAGCACCTTGTCCCTTAGCATCTTAATAATAATAATAATAAATAATAATAATAATATGCCATTTAGCAGACACTTTTATCCAAAGCGACTTACAGTCGTGCGTGCATACATTTTTGTGTATGGGTGGTCCCGGGGATCGAACCCTACTACCTTGGCGTTACAAGCGCCGTGCTCTACCAGCTGAGCTACAGAGGACCACAATTGCGTAATGGTAAACCTAGACGCGTGCATCTTATAGTATTCCGAGTGGTGACCTTGGCTAGATCCATTGGATATTATGGGCTACACTAATTCTCTGTCATCCTCAGACAAAGTGGATTTTCACTCATCTACATAGTTCCACTTCTGACACCGCCAAAACAACCGCTATGCGGATGTCAGCTAAAGCGGATCTGATTGAGTAGAGCCAATGGTCTTCATCAGATTCAGTTTACCTTGTAAAGACCATGTTGGTCGAAAAGCTTTTTCTGTATAACGCAAGCTTTATTAAAAGATCACTTGTGGTAGCAGCAAACAGTAGTGACTGTTTTATGGTTCAGTCGTGATGGTAATGACAATATGGTGGCTCAATCTTGACGGTGGTGACCGTATTGAACATTTTACTATACCGTAGTGGCAACATGATAACTGGCAAGTGTGATAGTTTTGATCGTATTATGCCCGAGCGGTAACTACAAAGTGTGACGGAGGTGACTGTATTGTAACTGCCAAGAGTGATGGTGGTGACTGTATCATGCCTGAGCGATAACTTGCGAGTACGATGGTGGTGACTATTGTGACGGAGTGGTAACTTGCGAGTGTGACAGTGGAGACCGTATTGTGGCTGCTGTACCTGACGTGGCGGATGTGTGACAGCAGCATCAGCAGGTGGGCGAGGCGCGCAGACTGCTGCTGAAAGCTGAGGCCCGTCTTTGCGATGGCCCACACCAGTGCGTCTGTTACGGCATCCAGCAAGCGCAGGAGCTTCGAGCGACTCTGCAGCTCTTCGCTCCCCTCCGAGGAGTTCAGGCACATGTCTGCAACCACAAAACACACACACAGTTGAGAAAATAAAGAAAAAACGTAATTGTAGTTGTCTCCATGACTCAAAGCCACATTAGCCCTCTGAGCTAAAGCCAAGTCTTTATCTCTGGGAGCTAGCACAAATCTTCAGGTCTCAGACAAGGTGACTTAGTGTGCAAGCACATTTCACCAAACTACCTTTGCTACACTTCATAAATAATTTCCAACATGTAGCATTATTAAATGCGATTACTTTGGTTACAGTTAAGTTAAATCAAATGTTGTTATTTTTCGTGATCCACTGACCTTGAAACAGGTTCTGACTGTTACATCTTTGAGAGTTAAACAGTAACTATGATGTGAGTGGAGAGAGACAGCGACTCAAAAAGGTACACAGTGTTCTCATTAGGCCTTGTCAGAGTGAGTTATTCCTCTGGTTGCCCTTGCCAACCCTCCCTAGACTCCCAAACAGATAGGATTACACTGAAGAAATGGTCCAACATAGCAACAGACTTGTGCTGAAAACTTAATCTTGATATGCATGCTATAAATATATAAAATATGAAGTAAAAAATAATTATAAAGATGCAGTACAGACAAACAGAAAGACAGAAGTACAGACAGAAGGCCAAACAGACAGATGCACACAAACGTTAACACACACGTACTAGAGTTGAGGAGGATCATGGCCTTGAGGCAGACATACTCCTCCCTCTGCAGCTTGAGCTCTCGGAACCTGGAGGTGGCAGCTAGCAGCATGTCAAAGATATCCACGAAACCCTGCACACAGCTCCCCTCGTCCCTGAAAACACACACACACAGACAGACATACACTTCATTTGAATACTTCATTTGGATCCACTATGAAAATATTTTAGAAATCATACAGATGCTTGATCCAGGAGTAGAGAGAGGGTGGTCACCTGCTCAGGCTGAGGTCGGGGGAAAAGATGAGCCTACCGGGGTGGTCCACTGATCTCCACATGAGCCCCAGCATCAGCACCTCCAACCAGCAGCACTCCAACAGGTGCACCTGGTCGAACAGGCTCAGGTCCACAAACCCTGTAAAGACATAACGGGGTCCGTATTCATGAAGTGTCTCAGAGTGCTGATCTAGGGCTAGATTCAATCCATAGTGCTGAAGAGCTGCGCTACAGCACGATTGAAATTTAAAGGCAATGTTCCCGCATACTGCTCATGGTAAACATAGTTTGTTGTTCGCAATGTAATAATGATACTTAAAAAAGTCATATTTACGAACAGCAAACAGTGAGTGGATTATGGCCCTGTACACACTCAGGTCGTACAACTGACATATAACACATTTGACACAATGATTGTGATACATTGCAGTGTTTGCCAGCACGAAAATGTTTACACAACCATTGTGCACAACCAATTACTTGAATGCAGAAAGTCTCTCCACTATATCACAACCGTTGTGTCAAATGTGTACATGGCCATTTGCATACTACCTTTTACTTTATTTCAACCCTAGCAGCAAATGGGGTTCTACTGAATAAAGCAGGGGCAATGTTTCTCTCTAGCACAGAGAAAACTAGACATCCCAAACTACCCTGTACTTTTTGCAGCATCACTGAGGAGAGCATCACTGAGGAGTGTAGACTATAGTACATCGATGCTCATTGCTCAGTATTTGTATTTATTAATACTCTTCCTGGGGTCCGGCAAAATTAAGGCAGTTATACCATTTTAAAAACATTACAAGTGTGTGCCCTAAGGCCCCTACTCCACTAACACATATCTACAACACAATATGTGTACGTGTGTGTATGGTGCGTATGTTATCATGTGTGTATGCATGTGTCTGTGCCTGTTTGTGTTGCTTCACATTCCCCGCTGTTACATAAGGTGAATTTTAATATTTTAATTTATTTATCTGATTCTACTGCTTGCATCAGTTACCTGATGTGGAATAAAGTTCAATGTAGTCATGGCTCTATGTAGTACTGTGCGCCTCCCATAGTCTGTTCTGGACTTGGGGACTTTGAAGAGACCTCTGGTGGCATGTCTTGTGGGGTATGCATGTGTGTCTGAGCTGTGTGCTAGTTGTTTGAATAGACAGCTCAGTGCTTTCAACATGTCAATACCTCTCACAAATACAAGTAGTGATGAAGCCAATCTCTCCTCCACTTTGTGCCAGGAGAGATTGACATACATAATTAATGTTTGCTCTCTGAGTCTGGCCTAGTGGTTAGCCCCCCAAACCACATATACCCCGGGAGACATGGGTACAAATCCTGTTTCAGCCCCTTTGTCTCCTAATCTGTCTCCCTTCTACATTCTGACTACCTGACTGTCACTGTCGATAATAAAGGAGACTGCTGTTGAAAACATGGACTCTTAGGGGCAGTTTCTTTAGGAAATTAGAACAATATTACGCTATGTTATGCCAGTAAAATCTAAGATATCAAATGTATTCAATTGATATTGATTCAAGTTACTCAACAGTATGCTGTACCTAATGCTATCTCACTCTGTTTTTGTCACACCCATTGACAGAGGATACACACAGGCTTTACAAGCAAACTTAAGACTTTTCGGCCTCATGTTCATTGTGTCAATGTTTTATACAGTTTTTCTGCTGTACTCAACGTGTGCACAAAGAATGGAATAAAATAGAACATATGATGCGAGGAAAGTATTATGTTTTTAAATCATGAATAAAAAAAATAGACAATAAATCAATCAACACCAACCTGGGATCTTCTTGGCCCAGCTGATCATGTGGACCAGCTCCTTGTCGGCCAGGTTGGTGAGTGACATCATGACGTTGGCCTCCGTCAGGGGCCTCCTCATGTCCCTCTGGAGGTAGATCTCCGGTGGCTCCGCCTCCATTATCCGGCCAATCAGCTGCTCCGGGGTTAATGCTGGGGGGAGGAGTTCCTTGATTGGCTCGCCCCTCTCAGCTAGGGCCCGCTTGGGCCCACTAGCCGCGCCCCGGGAGAAGCGACCCACGCGCCTCGGTTGATGACCCCGGTAGCTGCTGCGGTCGCGACGCATGCCTGAGGGAAACAGGAGGTGAACAGAGTACCTTGATATACCTAAAATAAGGGGTTGAGATCGCTATATCAAGCCCTCAATTACACCCCATCGATTTCACCTCCACAATTCCCAGCAATTACTCCCCTTTGACCAGCTGCCTGTCAAACAACATTTGCATGGTAAGTCATGGGCCAGTTGCATATATCTCACCGATAGTCGCTCTGGATAAGAGCGTCTGCTAAATGACTAAAATGTAAAATGTAAATGTAGTAAGAGGGAATACCACCAGGCCGATGAATGGGCAAGTGCCTCTGACAAGAATAGCGGCGATTTTACGATTCTACATGTTGAATCGGCACAAACAGCCACAGTTCACCGGCACCCAGCAGGTGGTCGCTATAACACACCACGGCGAAAGCAAGCGAAAGGACGGCCACCCTCTCCTTTTGGACTTCAGTCATCTTGCCTTGTACTTGGCTATCTTGTCCAAAAGTTTGGATTTAAAATCTAAATGTTCATCTTGACAAGGAAATGTGTGATCAACGAACAATGAAATGACAACTGTACCAACCTGTGTCACTATAGCAACTGAACCTTAATTTAGCTTTGTAAAAATAGATCATTACATTGAATGGAGCAAAACATCCTAGACAACCACCTGATGCACAAGGCTCACAAAGGAGAGAAAGCAAATAGCAAAGTTTTGCAAACTATATTTCTTGTCCACTTGCAAACATGTGGGTGAGTATGTCTCTAAATCCTAACCCCAGTGCCTCTGCTCATTGTGTGAGCAAAGTCTAGCCAATGGGGAATATTCACATATCAAAAATAAATCATTTCTAAGGCACCGGACACAAACATTGGCCACACACTGGACTATACAGAAGCTGTATGTATTTAACGTAATTTTTGTCGTGGGTCATAATGAATACGATTGTATGTTAGGGTGGACTTGATCTGAGACGCTTTGTGACAACCACCACTGGCAAGATTAGGGTGAGGATGGTGTGAAGGAGATAGAAGACGAGGAGGATGAAGGGAGAGGGGGAAAGCGAGAGACACGTACCACACTTTGTCATGCCTACTTCGTAGCACTTGCGGAGGCGGCACGCCTGGCAGCTCTTGCGGCGGTTCTTATCGATAGTGCACTGGTTGGTCGCCGGGCAGATGTAGTCATTGTGACCTGAGAGAGAGAGAGATGGAGTGGGGTTTACAAAGGGTAGATAGGAGAGAAGAGATAAGAGGAAGACTAACATTTTTATGTTTTATTCCATGTGTACATTGGCAGCTAAATACAAGAAAACAAATGTAAAAGGTCAGAGAGAGAGAGAGAGAAAGTTCCTCTACTTCAGGGATGGGCAGCTTTGATGGGCGTGGGGGTCACAAAAAATTTGAACTCATCATGAGGAACGGCAGTTGCTCGCAGGTCTGCGTACCAACATGTGAACCCCCCCCACTGCGAAAAAAAACAAACATTTTAACAGCCCACCTCTTGACAGTGGAGAGAAAAATTTAACATTTTACTCAAGTAAATTTCGTGCAATTCTACACATTTTGCCATGGGGCATAGAGAACATTTTTGGAGTTTCCTGCAATTCTACACATTTTTCCATTGGGGGGGAGAGAAATGTTTGTAGGTTTTAATATGATATCTGAGTGAGACTGACTAAGAAAATCAATGGGGACCCCCCGGCCGGTAATTCCACCATGATTACTAAATTTAGATAGCTGGCCGCTAGACAAACTTTCCAATCTAAAAAAAATGTAGTTGACACGGGCTAATTGAGTATCAGTGACTGACATATCAAGAGAAAAACTGCTGATGCATAACCAAATTTCGATATTACACCTCGTGTATTCTACTATTCTAACTTGCAACAGTAAGTTGAGACCCCTACAGTTGCCCATCCCTGCTCTACTTTAACAGGAAACATAAATATCAAGTGTACCTGAAGCATTTGTAGTTGTTGGTTTAGCTTTCTGTAACTATGTAGCAAGTACAGTCTGCATGTCTAGGCGCACATTGTGTCATGATTGCAAGGTGTCCCGATATCTTTTCCAAATCAAATCAAATCAAATTTTATTGGTCACATGCGCCGAATACAACAGGTGCAGACATTACAGTGAAATGCTTACTTACAGCCCTTAACCAACAGTGCATTTATTTTAAACAAAAAAAGTAAGAATAAAACAACAACAAAAAAAGTGTTGAGAAAAAAAGAGCAGAAGTAAAATAAAGTGACAGTAGGGAGGCTATATATACAGGGGGGTACCGTTGCAGAGTCAATGTGCGGGGGCACCGGCTAGTTGAGGTAGTTGAGGTAATATGTACATGTGGGTAGAGTTAAAGTGACTATGCATAAATACTTAACAGAGTAGCAGCAGCGTAAAAAGGGTGGGGTGGGGGGGCAGTGCAAATAGTCTGGGTAGCCATGATTAGCTGTTCAGGAGTCTTATGGCTTGGGGGTAGAAGCTGTTGAGAAGTCTTTTGGACCTAGACTTGGCACTCCGGTACCGCTTGCCGTGCGGTAGCAGAGAGAACAGTCTATGACTAGGGTGGCTGGAGTCTTTGACAATTTTGAGGGCCTTCCTCTGACACCGCCTGGTATAGAGGTCCTGGATGGCAGGAAGCTTTGCCCCAGTGATGTACTGGGCCGTACGCACTACCCTCTGTAGTGCCTTGCGGTCGGAGGCCAAGCAGTTGCCATACCAGGCGGTGATGCAACCAGTCAGGATGCTCTCGATGGTGCAGCTGCAGAATTTTTTGAGGATCTGAGGACCCATGCCAAATCTTTTTAGTCTCCTGAGGGGGAATAGGCTTTGTCGTGCCCTCTTCACGACTGTCTTGGTGTGTTTGGACCATGATAGTTCATTGGTGATGTGGACACCAAGGAACTTGAAGCTCTCAACCTGTTCCACTACAGCCCCGTCGATGAGAACAACTGTCTCGTTAACTGGTTTTAATGTCCATTCTAGAATGTCCTTCTAGCCAATTAGAAACAAGTATTCAACAATGCTGTGGTATAAAGGTTGTTATTGCTGCTTGTTATCTGCAATCTTTGGAATAGTTCCAGGAACATTCCTTGATGTGAAACCAGATTGAAATGGCAGTGGCAATGACAGTTCCAAGTTCCAATCGAAGGATGAGCCAAACACGCTGTTTTCTTCCCACAATCATCTTAGTTACAATCTTGATCAAAGGGAGGACCTCGGCAGACCATTTTTTGGCTTGTCTCCTTTTAATCCCTTTAAGATGTGAGATTCATGCACACACACACACACACACACACACACACACACACACACACACACACACACACACCACAGCCGGAACCAGTAGCTCTATTCCCAGAGGGTGAACAATGTGCTCTCACCTTTGGCCCCTGAGAAAGGGATCTGGACCCAATTACGAGAGGACAAATAGAGCAGCATGTCCCAATACATTCCTGAGGGAACCCATAGTCAGTGCACAATTGTGTTCTAGCCCAGCAATTGTGTTCTAGAACAAAAATGAGCAACCCTTGGGGGTACTCCAAGACCGGAGTTGAGAAACACTACAGTACTAGAGTACATTGAATAGTCCTTGACTGAGAGAGAAAGGGCTAGATTTAATAAGTGTTTCCACCGAAGGGACAAAGGGATAAAAAATGTAAAGCATAAAACTGTGTTCATTTACATTTACCTTGATGCTTTATTCTTTTTACACACCTTTGTTTTAGGCCACAGTCATATTGTATTTGAAAATTCCCAATTGCCGGAAGATGTACAATGGAAATTATTGTCCGACAAAATTGCACAAATTGTCAGTCTTCTCATGTATGCAGCTCGTCCCAGTTGAGAACTTTGACTGACAAAAACTGACAATTGCATATACAATTTCATCCGTGCTAATAAGTCTCAATGACGTAGCCTTACCCTTTTGTTCTATCCTCAATATTTATTCCCTTTTCAGCATATTGTGGTGCTAAATGCTTAGGCTGGGATTCAATCCGATCACGTTTTGTTGCTAACGTGCCATTTAATGGTCATTTCCAACATGCAGCATTTACAGTGAATGCGGTCTCTGCGAACGCTTTAACATTACCTTTAAAAGGACACATTGTCAACAAAGTGCGATCGGATTGAATCCTGGCCTTGGTAAATCCGGCCCAAAGATAGCAGAAGAAAGATGTCCAACAGGATTGACAACACAAGCTATCTGTGATGGCTTTCACTGATGACCTTATATGATTAGTGGTAAATAAGTTGTAAAAGCGGCAGGTATTTCTGATGTGAAATTATCTATTGAAGAACCTCACTAATTCCCTCTTCATCTCGAGTAGGTGGGGGCAATCTTACCCTGTGAGGACCACTGTGGGTGCAGGTTTTTGTTCCAGCCAAGCAGTCATACATCTAACTCTACTCAGAGTCTCCGATCAAGACTTTGACTAGTTAAATCAGGTATGTTGACACTTAACTAAAGCTGCAGAGTTGTGGTTGTGGGTGTGTCCTATTCATTCATTTAAACTATCGTAGTTACTTTGGAAACTACGCTCACAGTAATCATAATACTTATGCACCCTAATAATCGCTCATTCGGATTAGAAATGCAACATTTACAGTTGAAGTCGGAAGTTTACATACACTTAGGTTGGAGTCATTAAAACTAGTTTTTCAACCACTCCACACATTTCTTGTTAACAAACTATAGTTTTGGCAAGTCGGTTAGGACATCTACTTTGTGCATGACACAAGTAATTTTTCCAAGAATTGTTTACAGACAGATTACTTCACTTATAATTCAGTGTATCACAATTCTAGTGGGTCAGAAGTTTACATACACTAAGTTGACTGTGCCTTTTAAACAGCTTGGAAAATTCCAGAAAATGATGTCATGGCTTTAGAAGCTTCTGATCGGCTAATTGACATCATTTGAGTCAATTGGAGGTGTACCTGTGGATGTATTTCAAGGCCTACCTTCAAACTCAGTGCCTCTTTGCTTGACATCATGGGAAAATCAAAATAAATCAGCCAAGACCTCATAAATAAAATGGTAGACCTCCACAAGTCAGGTTCATCCTTCGGAGCAATTTCCAAACGCCTGAAGGTACCGCGTTCATCTGTACAAACAATAGTACACAAGTATAAACACCATGGGACCACGCAGCCGTCATACCGCTCAGGATGGAGACGCGTTCTGAGATGAACGTACTTTGGTGCGAAAAGTGCAAATCAATCGCAGAACAACAGCAAAGGACCTTGTGAAGATGCTGGAGGAAACAGGTACACAAGTATCTATATCCACAGTAAAACGATTCCTACATCGACATAACCTGAAAGGCCGCTCAGCAAGGAAGAAGCCACTGCTCCAAAACCACAAATAAAAAAGCCAGACTACGGTTTGCAACTGCACATGGGGACAAAGTTCGTACTTTTTGGAGAAATGTCCTCTGGTCTGATTAAACAAAAATAGAACTGTTTGGCCATAATGACCATAGTTATGTTTGGAGGAAAAAGGGGGTAGGCTTGCAAGCCGAAGAACACCATCCCAACCATGAAGCACGGGGGTGGCAGCATCATGCTGTGGGGGTGCTTTGCTACAGGAGGGACTGGTGCACTTCACAAAATAGATGGCATCATGAAGAAGGAAAATTATGTGGATATATTGAAGCAACATCTCAAGACATCAGTCAGGAAGTTAAAGCTTGGTCGCAAATGGGTCTTCCAAATGGACAATGACCCCAAGCATACTTCCAAAGTTGTGGCAAAATGGCTTAAGGACAACAAAGTCAAGGTATTGGAGTGGCCATCACAAAGCCCTGACCTCAATCCTATAGAACATTTGTGGGCAGAACTGAAAAAGCGTGTTCGAGCAAGGAGGCCTACAAACCTGACTCAGTTACACCAGCTCTGTCATGAGGAATGGGCCAGAATTCACCCAACTTATTGTGGGAAGCTTGTGGAAGGCTACGCGAAACATTTAACCCAAGTTAAACAATTTAAAGGCAATGCTACCAAATACTAATTGAGTGTATGTAAACTTCTGACCCAATGGGAATGTGATGAAATAAATAAAAGCTGAAATAAATAATTCTCTCTACTATTATTCTGACATTTCACAATCTTAAAATAAAGTGGTGATCCTAACTGACCTAAGACAGGGAATTGTTATTAGGATTAAATGTCAGGAATTGTGAAAAACTAAGTTTAGATGTATTTGGCTAAGGTGTATGTAAACTTCCGACTTCAACTGTATTTACGTGTTGCTGTCCTCGATAGTTGAGTTGATGATGTAGGACTCTGGTTTGCCCACCATAGATCTCAATGTCCTTGGTAGAGTTTATGGTCATAGTCGTGGTTAGAATGGATACTTCAGATGTACCCGCGGTTGTTGGAGAGGGATTGTCCTTTCCAACTCGTGTCTTTAGTGAAAGTTCTCTAGACGACTATACATGCCAGCTGCAGACTGAAATGATAAGGTCTAGTGCATTGTCTTCTTCTTCACCTCGTGTAGAGGTTGAGAGTTTCAGCATTTCTCAATTTCAAATTTGTGGACTAACGTCTCACGCTTTCTGGTCTTGTAGAAATTCAACCATTTTACAACATTTAGCTCACGCTTCACGTCTGCTGGTCGGAGGTGAATTTCGTCACAAGTATTTTTATGCACTCGGGGTAAAAGGGGCATTCCATCATGTTTGTGCTCATCTGGGCGTGGCCACTGATGAGAAAAAATCTATATGGAAAACAATCTCATCTAAAATCCCATTGTTATCTTCACAAAACTATTATTATACTAAATCATTTGTTTTATACAACAAATTGATAACTGGGAAGTGTAGCCCCCCAGAGATAGTTATGTTGTTCCTCCGTCTTTAATGACATCACAACATAGTAACGAATTTGACATGATTGTTCTATAAGTCCCCACCAACCATTTCCCACATTCTTTTAAGTAGGAATATTGTTTCATTATCCACTTTTGGATGTTGGAGTCTTGGCGGGAAGACTTCCTTTGTTAACAAAGGGGTCCTTTCTCCCAATACTTCATGGCAAGGAAGAGAAAGTCTGCACGGTATTTCCGACCGGTCATAAAACTGGCCCCCAGGAAAGGGGGTGTTCAAACCTTTGCCTAGCCAGCATGTTTGATCCTCAACCCATGAGGGCAAGTCATGACACCTGTCTCGGAGCTCTACGGACAATTCCTTCAACCTCATGGCTTGGTTTTTGCTCTGACATGCACGGTCAACTGTGGGACCTTATATAGACAGGTGTGTGCCTTTCCAAATCATGTCCAATCAATTGTATTTACCACAAGTGGACTCCAATCAAGTTGTAGAAACATCTCAAGGATGATCAATGGAAACAGGATGTACCTGAGCTCAATTTCGAGTCTCATAGCAAAGGGTCAGAATACTTAATCATTATGGGGCATTGTGTGAAGATTGATAAGGAAAATGTTTTATTTAATCAATTTTAGAATAAGGCTGTAACGTAACGAAATGTGGAAAAAGGGAAGGGGTCTGAATACTCTCCGAATGCACTGTACCTACAGCACTCCAGGAACAGGGTTGCCTACCCCTGCACTAGAATATATGAAGAGAACGGTTCAGAATATTTCAGGGGTTGTGTCTCCAGACATGGACGTGGATTTTTTTCAGAATCAATAAGAGACAATAAATCCAGAAGTGGAAAGAAAGCCATCGAAAGCCATTGAAATACACAAATATTCATCTGCTTTTCAGCACCAATTGGTATTTTAAAAACTACTCTGATCTTTTATATTATTTAGTGTTAGGAAAGTATTTATGAATAACATTTTTGGGGGAAACCTTTACGCACAAAATATATTGGTGAATCAAAAATACAGTGGTTTGATTAATCCTGAAAGTTGCCATATTCAATTGTTCAATTCATGAAATATAGGAAGGTGAGAACATTTTACAACAGTACTCCTATAAATCTACTCTAATAATCCTCACTAATCATGGAACTGTGATGACAACGGTCCAGTCATCGTGAACAGTGCACCAGGCTCCAGGTTTAAACTGCCACGTATGGTCTGCGTTCCATAATGATTCAAATAGGCTACATGTCCCAAATTATTGCACAACTTGTAATACGTTAGCCTAACATGATCCACAATTGCTAGCGATCCTCAGGAACAACCACACGAACGAGACAGAGGAAAGAAAGGCTACTGATCATGGCTGATAGTTAACACGATACAAATTGTTTTAAAAAATACAGTGAAAAGTCTGGGGATACAAACAAAACATTATAGAAATCATAAATCAACTTGGTAGGTTTGGCGCTATTCTGTCATTTGCTCATGGCTACAGAAACGTATAGCTTGGGTCTCCAATTTGCATCCCTGCAAGGTTATAAGGCAAGCGTTTCATAAATGTCACTGTGGAAAATGTGATATGTATAAGTTCAAGGTCAGAATACAGGTTGAAAGAAAAGTGCATAAAAAGGGAATTGCGTTCCATTTACGCACGTTTAACTCGAGTCAGAATTCCCCCCTACAGTGCCTTCAGAAAGTATTCATACCCCTTGACTTACTCCACATTTTGTTGTGTTACAACCCAAATTCAAAATTCATTAAATAAAATTCTCACCCATTTACACATAATACCCCATAATGACAAAGTGAAAACATGTTTTTACATTTTGTAGCAATTTCTTTGAAAATGAAATACAGAAGTATCTCATTTACATAAGTATTCACACCCCTGAGTCAATACTTTGTAGAAGCACCTTTGGCGGCGATTACAGCTTTGAGTCGTCTTGGGTATGTCTGTATCAGCTTTGTACATCTGGATTTTGGGATTTTCTCCCATTTTTCCTTGCAGATTTTCTCAAGCTCTGTTAAGTTAGATGGGGAGCGGCGCTGAAAAGCAATCGTTAAGTCTTTCCACAGATTTTCAATAGGATTCAAGTCTGGGCTTTGGCTGGGCCACTCAAGGACTTTCACATTCTTGTTCTGAAGCCATTCCAGCATTGCTTTGGCTGTATGCTTGGGGTCATTGTTCTGCTGGAACGTAAATCTTTGCCCCAGTCTAAGGTCGTTTGCACTCTGAAGCAGGTTCTCATCAAGGTTTTCCCTTTATTTGGCTCCATTCATTGTTCTGTCTATCCTTACCAGTCTCCCAGTCCCTGCCACTGAAAAGCATCCCCATAGCATGATTCTGCCACCACCATGCTTCACAGCAGGGATGGTGTTAGAGGGGTGATGAGCTGTGCCTGGTTTTCTCCAGACATAGCGCTTTTCATTCAAGCCAAAGAGTTCATTTTTTGTCTCGTCAGACCACATCATCTTTTGCCTTATGATCTCAGTCTTTCACATGTCATTTTGCAAACTCCAGGCGTGCTGTCATGTGCCTTTTTCTCAGAAGTGGCCACTCCCATAAAGCCCAGACTGGTGAAGTGCTGTAGAGCCTGTTGTCCTTCTGGCAGGGTCTCCCATCTCAGCCAAGGAAATCTGTAGTTCTGCCAGAGTGGTCATTAGGTTCTTGGTCACCTCCCTGACCAAGGTCATTATTGCCTGGTTGCTCAGTTTGGTCGGACGGCCAGCTCTAGGCAGAGTCTGGGTAGTTCCATATTTTTTCAATTTCCCAATAATGGAGACAACTGTGCTCTTGGAAACGTTCAACACTTGAGAAATTGTTTTATACCCTTCCACAGATATATGCCTCATCACAATTATATCTCGGAGATCTAAGGACAGTTCTTTGGACTTCATGGTATAGTTTCTACTCTGACTTGCACTGTCAAATTTGGGACCTTATATAGACATTGTAAATTTTAGTCATTTAGCAGACACTCTTATCAAGAGCGACTTACAGTTAGTGAGTGCATACATTTTTTTTCCATACAGGTGTGTTTCTTTCTAAATCATGTCTAAACAATCACAGGTGGACTCCAATCAAGCTGTAGTGACATCTCAAGGATGATCAAAGGAAATTGGATGCACCTGAGCTGTTATAGGAAAGGAGTATGAATACTTATGTAAATGAGATATTTCTGTACTTCATTTTCTATAAATTTGCAAAAATTCTAAAATCATGTTTTCACTTTGTCATTATGGGGTATTGTGTGTAAAAAATATATTTAATCCATTTGGAATTCAGGCTGTAACATAACAAAATGTGGGGTCAAGGGGTATGAATACTTTCTGAAGGCACTGTATGTGCATGATCTGGAACACTGAGCCCTTACTACCTTGGATGCTCCTCTTGAAGAAAGCCTTGCAGCCCTCGCAGGACCACACGCCGTAGTGGTAGCCCGATGCGTAGTCGTGACACACGGCACAGAAGTGCAGTTCAGCCTTCCCTTCCGGCGAGATGACCGTCTCCTCGCCCTCCTGCGAGCGCTTCCTCAGAGGCTTGCTGTCCATCACACAGAGAGAATACAGACAACAGTGACAACATGACTGATGATAATGTTTTGAAAACCATACAAAACAAGGGTAAAACTTTATAATAAGGCTTTCAAAGTGCCCCCCTCCCTTCTGACCTTAATCACTCACCATCACAGATCTAATAGGACTGGATAGGTTAAAGCAATATGGCGGAAACAATATGAATAGAATCTCATTCTTGTTCTGTAGCGGAAACAAGATGGAGCAATGGCTCACACCTATCTAGTCCCTTCACACCTGCAAAGAATAGGCTCTGCATGTTCTAATGAAATGCAGCAGTTGGTGGTCTGCATTGTGTGGGGGCTTTTGCCCAGTTTATAAGTAGAATCAGGTTTGTTAGTGCTAAGCTGGAGCAAAAGCCTCCAAGGAGTGAAGAAACCCAGTGTCCTTCCTACCTAAACTCAGTTTCCTTCCTACCTGCTCTCAGATAGGGCGTGGTCCCGGGGCGACAGCTCCACCCAGGGCACTCGGGTTGGCTGGCCTTGCTGGGGGCGGGACTGGGGCCGATGGTGCAGAGCCAATGAAGGCCCCACGTGAGCATGGGGGGGCCAGAAGAAGGAGGGACTGAGGGACTGGCGAGCGGACGGGCAGTCAGGGAGGGCGGGCCCACCGTAGCTCAGCAGAGTGGGGCTGTAGAAGGACAAGGGGTTGAAGTCGTGCCCGATGTCAGTGTACGGCGAGGGGATGCAGATGGGGTGGGCCTCCATGGGCAGCGGCGGGGATGGGGCGCTGAAGATGGGCGAGAGGATGCGGCCACCGCGGCCCACCCGGCTGGGGTCCACTTCCTGCAGCTGCAGAAGGGGCGCAGAATCGCGCTCTGGGAGTGGAGACGCAGCCATTGGCGACTGCGGGAGCTCTGAAGTCAGACCAGGGAGTCTTCTATATTGTGACATCAATGAGAGACACCAACGCAGGAGTCCTGGAGGAGTAGGAGGATGACAGTGTCTCTTGAAGCTGATTTAAGGTCAGATGTGAATTTTTCCTTCATTAATGATTGAGATTATGATTGGGGGAGGAAAAGCTGATCCTAGACGTGTGCTTATGGTCACTGTTGCTGGCAACTGTAGGAGCTCTCAAAGCAGGCTTTAGCAGAGGTCTATGAGATTATTAGCAAGAGCCTCAACTATAGGATGCCTACAAGTGGGTCTGGCTCTAATGCATCATCAGCATGGGACACGGTTTCAGGGGTTGTATCACCAGACATGGACTTTTTCCAGAATCGATAAGAGACGCTAAATCCATAAGAGGAGTAGCAATCCATCCATGTATGGATCTCTGACGACATCAAAAAAGGACACAATTGCAGGGTCTCCGATATCAGGGGATTCCAACTGTAGGGAAAGAGAGAAAAGGATTGTGTCAAACAAAGACGTTATCCACGTCGGCACCAATGATGTTAGGATGAAACAGTCAGAGGTCACCAAGCGCAACATAGTTTCAAATCAAATCAACAGTGCATTTATTTTTAACAAAAAAAGTAAAAATAAAACAACAACTAAAAAAGTGTTGAGAAAAAAAGAGCAGAAGTAAAATAAAATAACATTAGGGAGGCTATATATACAGGGGGGTACCGGTGCAGAGTCAATGTGCGGGGGCACCGGCTAGTTGAGGTAGTTGAAGTAATATGTACATGTGGGTAAAGTTAAAGTGACTATGCATAAATAATTAACAGAGTAGCAGCAGCGTAAAAAGGATGGGGTGGGGGGGCAGTGCAAATAGTCCGGGTAGCCATGATTAGTTGTTCAGGAGTCTTATGGCTTGGGGGTAGAAGCTGTTGAGAAGTCTTTTGGACCTAGACTTGGCACTCCGGTACCGCTTGCCGTGCGGTAGCAGAGAGAACAGTCTATGACTAGGGTGGCTGGAGTCTTTGACAATTTTGAGGGCCTTCCTCTGACACCGCCTGGTGATTTCAGTGTGTAAATCAGCTAGAAAGATGTGTCGACATCAAGTAATTGTCTCTGACCCCCTCCCAGTTAGGGGCATTGATGAGCTCTACAGCAGAGTCTCACAACTCAATCGCTGGTTGAAAACTGTTTTCAGCCCCTCACAAAAGATTGAATTTGTAGATAATTGGCCCTCTTTATGGGACACACACAAACAGGACCAAGCCTGGCCTGCTGATGAGTGACGGACTCCATCCTAGCTGGAGGGGTGCTCTCATCTTATCTATCAACATAGACAGGGCTCTAACTCCTCTAGCTCCACAATGAGATAGGGTGCAGGCAGCAGGCTGTTAACCAGCCTGCCAGCTTAGTGGAGTCTGCCACTAGCACAGTCAGTGTAGTCAGCTCAGCTATCCCCATTGAGACCGTGTCTGTGCCTCAATCTAGGTTGAGGTTCGCTTTAGTAATCTCACTGGAATAAAGACTTCCTCCATTCCTGCCATTATTGAAAGAGATTGTGATATCTCACATCTCAAAATAGGGCTACTTAATGTTAGATCCCACACTTCAAAGGCAGTCATACTCAATGAACTAGTCACTGATCATAATCTTGATGTGATTGGCCTGACTGAAACATGGCTTAAGCCTGATGAATTTACTGTGTTAAATGAGATCTCTCCTCCTGGTTACACTAGTGACCATATCCCCCGCGCATCCCGCAAAGGCGGAGGTATCGCTAACATTAATGACAGCAAATTTAAATGTAAAAAAACAACAACAAAAACTGCATTTTCATCTTTTGAGCTTCTAGTCATGAATTCCTATCGGACCTTGTAGTCATGGCAGATAATATTCAAATGTTTGGTGACTTTAATAATCACATGGAAAAGTCCACAGACCCACTGCAAAAGGCTTTCGGCGCCATCATCGACTCAGTGGGTTTTGTCCAACATGTCTCCGGACCTACTCACTGCCACAGTCATACCCTGGATCTAGTTTTGTCCCGTGGAATAAATATTGTGGATCTAAATGTTTTTCCTCATAATCCTAGACTATCGGACCACCATCTTATTACGTTTGCAATCGCAACAAATAATCTGCTCAGACCCCAACCAAGAATCATCAAAAGCTGTGCTATAAATTCTCGGACAACCCAAAGCTTCCTAGATGCCCTTCCAGACTCCCTCCACCTACCCAAGGATGTCGAAGTGCAAAAATCGGTTAACCACCTAACTGAGGATCTAAATTTAGCCTTGCATAATACCCTAGATGCAGTCGCACCCCTAAAAACAAAAAAACTTTTGTCACAAGAAATTTGCACCCTGTTATACAGAAAATACCAGAGCCCTGAAGCAAGCTTCCAGAAATGCCGCTCCACCAAACTGGTAGTCTTCCGCCTAGCTTGGAAAGACAGTACCGTGCAATATCGAAGAGCCCTCACTGCTGCTCGATCATCCTATTTTTCCAACCTAATTGAGGAGAATAAGAACAATCCAAAAATGTATTTTTGATACTGTCGCAAAGGTAACTAAAAAGCAGCATTCAACAAGAGAGGATAGCTTTCACTTCAGCAGTGATAAATTCATGAACTTCTTTGATGAAAAGATCATGATCATTAGAAAGCAAATTACGGACTCCTCTTTGAATCTGCGTTTTTCTCCTAAGCTTAGTTGTCCTGAGTCTGCACAGAACTGCCAGGTCCTAGGAACAATGGAGACACTCAAGTTTTTTAATCCTGTATCTCTTGACTCTTGAAAATAGTAATGGCCTCTAAACCGTCAAGCTGCATACTGGACACTATTCCAACTAAACTACTAAAAGAGCTACTTCCTGTGCTTGGCCCTCCTATGTTGAACATAATAAATGTCTCGCTATCCACCGGATGTGTACCAAACTCACTAAAAGTGGCAGTAATAAAGCCTCTCTTGAAAAAGCCAAACCTTGACCCGGAAAATGTTTTTAAAAAAAAATAAAAATCGGCCTATATCGAATCTCCCATTCCTCAAAAAAAAAAAAAAAAAAAAAAAAGCTGTCTCACTGCCTTCCTGAAGAGAAATAATGTATACGAAACACTTCAGTCTGGTTTTATACCCCATCATAGCACTGAGACTGCACTCGTGAAGGTTGTAAATTACCTTTTAATGGCGTCAGACTAAGGCTCTGCATCTGTCCTTGTGCTCTTAGAGGAAGTGGAAGTGGAACTGTATGGTTCTCTGTCATTCTGGGCCTGTATTCATAAAGCATCTCAGAGTAGGAGTGCTGACCAAGGATTAGGTCCCCCCGGTCCATGTGATCTTGTTCATTATGATCCAAAAGTTTAAACTGATCCTAGATCTGCACTCCTTCTCTGAGACACTTTATGAATGCAGGCCCTGGAATCAAAGTGCCACCCATGCCAGAGTCACTCATTGAGGGTCCCTTAGCAACCGCCCCAGGTAAAAGGAAGACACAGGAACTCAATTACACACCAGAGAAGCTGACATCCCCCCCACTGGCCAATCGATTGGGCTTTCTACGATAGGCAACGTCATAGAAAAAAATGTCTGTCCTTGTAAAATACTCAAAATCCAGCCCGTTAGAGAAAGGCGCTGCACAGATTCGCTAATCTTGATCACACGAGTAGTAATTTGAGATGCAAGGTGATTTGTAGATCAGTGAATCTTCGCAGCGCCTTGCTCAGGCCGATCCCTTGAATGTGTGCGTCAACTGACTGTGACACAAAATGCAGAATTAAAAAAAAATCTAATCAAATTTGATTTGTCACATACAGTTCACAGCATGTATAAAAGGTGCAGCAAAATGTTGTGTGCAAGCTCTCTCAACATTGCAGTACAATAATCAATATCAATAATACAAAGTCAAATAAAAAATGTAAAGAATTAGAAGGTAGTATGCAAAGTAATAAACTGATACAGATGTCAGATCTTAACTTGATTTTTTTTATTTTTTTTTATTTCACCTTTATTTAACCAGGTAAGCCAGTTGAGAACAAGTTCTCATTTACAACTGCGACCTGGCCAAGATAAAGCAAAGCAGTGCGATAAAAACAACACAGAGTTACATATGGGGTAAAAAACATAAAGTCAAAAATACAACAGAAAATATATATACAGTGTGTGCAAATGTAGCAAGTTATGGAGGTAAGGCAATAAATAGGCTATAGTGCAAAATAATTACAATAGTATTAACACTGGAATGCTAGATGTGCAAGAGATTATGTGCAAATAGAGATACTGGGGTGCAAAAGAGCAAAATAAATAACAATATAGGGATGAGGTAGTTGGGTGGGCTAATTTCAGATGGGCTGTGTACAGGTGCAGTGATCGGTAAGGTGCTCTGACAACTGATGCTTAAAGTTAGTGAGGGAGATAAGAGTCTTCAGCTTCAGAGATTTTTGCAATTCGTTCAATTGATCACTCTTTTGTTGCTGAGAATTTTCCTGCTGCATCAAAATGAGCAGTTCTTTCTCTCCATGCGGGAGCAGTCGAGTCATTGATCACGGCTTGCTATCAAAATCATCCTCTCTCTTGCTCGTTCAAATGCTAGGCCTATGTTAAAAAATGTTTCTGAAATGCAGCAATACACATCAACAACCGTTGTTTTATATAGCTAAACACAATATATATATTGCTCTCCACTAGGCTACAACATACAAGTGTCAAGCGTATCCGAAATACAGCTGTGCAGTAGGCTACACCTAAACTATAGCCTATCAAAACTAAGTGCACACATATGCCTATAATATTAGATGTAAAGACACAATGAAATTGAGAATAGTGAGGTAGCCTACGGAATGGAGCACAAAATATATTATTTAAAAAGAGGACATCTTAAGGTTTCTAACGAACCTAAGGTTACGAATCAACTGTCAAAGTTGAGTTAAAATGTGGCTTGGGGTGGTCTAGCAGTTAGGGCCACTGCCTTCAGTGCGCATATTGTACTGGCGTGGGTTCGAT